AAAAGTATTTTTCTGTCGAACTTAGCCTACCCACTTGCGCATCGAAATCACCTGACACGACAATCACATTTGAAAGTTTGGCGTTCAGCAGGAGACAAGACAGTTTTCGGTAGGAATAAATCTCCACTTCACTCGAAATGCAGCCAGTAAGTGCACGAGCAAAGATTATGAAGAGACAACGGCGAGTTTTATTAATCTGTTCAGTCCTTACGACACTTTCCAGTTAAACAGTGCACAGGCAGCCGTCAACCAGACAGGATCTAGTCCAACACTGCAGTTGCTGCCTTAGGACTCAAAGCTATACCTACACCTGCAATATTGTGAGAACTAACCATCGAATCTCCAGAAACCAGTAAGGTAAATTTTGAAGATTGACCACACTGGTCAAGGGAGGATACTTGCTGAACCGTACTTCGGTCGTATATGTGTCTCCTAAACACAGCACACGGTTTTGTTCCTAGATGTACCAGTTTTAGCTAACGAAGCTTGCCGTCTCATATGACGGATGATAAAGATATTAGGAGTGCTAATACGCAGTTTGGAATGCAGTTTCAGGACACCAGAGCTGTTTCATGAACTCCAATCATCATTAGGAGCTGTACAGCTGGAATAAATTAAATGTGACTTGGGAACACTGAGCGAGATAATTAAGAGATCAGAAGGTAGGGATGTGGAAGGTTGATCTGAAAGAAATTGAGTGCCGACAAAATTTGGAGTTGACAGTTCCTGACTGCCTACTTCGTGGAAGGTTATCTCCTGAAGCGCCTGAAAATGAAATCCTGTTATTAGTACTAGTGTATGGTCTCAGGAACTAAAGGAAACCTGCTCAAGATCTACCACAGGGGATATTTTTAGGTTTGTTAAATTTAGAATTGGCTATGTAAACACTAGAGAAGAAAAACCCATACCGCCAGCACTAGGAGACTGGAGAACGGGGAGGGTGCTACTTGTGGGTTCGACCTTTTCTAACCCTGCCCATTCCCACAAGGAAGGTAATTCCAGCATGGGATTCTAGTTGTGCTTAGGGAGCACCTGACTTCTGTCACATTCCCGTCTTGCTCGCAGTACGATTTCGTCTTCGGAATACTATTATAACGTAGGTATTTAAAGTATTATAGTAACTGCTTTTCGTTTTACCATTGCCCGGCAGAGCCTTCTGGTATGGTATGACCTCAAGAGAATAAATGATCCCATTAGAATAGCTCGTTGGGTCATTATGAGGTACTAGCCTGATCATCAAGTTGGCAGCTATCCGTCGGACTCCTAAGTCAACCATATCTACTTGGCTGAGACTGGCTCCAGCGTAACGATTATAAATTCCTTTGTCCCAGTTCTCACAACAAAGTGGATAGATCAGTTCAGAAGTATATAAAGTAAATGTAGATGCTTATGTAAGAATTCTGAGCCATATGACTGACCCCCCCCCCCCCCCCCAACACCATATCCCTCATACCACTCTTAACACAGAAAAGTAGGTGAATTCATGAAATAATAGTAACAAAATAAGCAAGACAACAAGCTTATCTTATCACATCAAGTTCACATCAGCTGCTTACAACCTATATTCAGATGGAAAAAACAAAGAAATCTAATATGACTTAGTTTATAGTCAGTTGGTGTTAACAATATTACCGAGAAAAGTAACACGCCTCGAAGCAATGTTGAAATTGTATGTTTAAGCGTTACAAATGTATATATAACTTAGTCGAATATTACTATGAATAAAAAACCTGTATAGGTGCTAACCAGAACACCTGAAGCTTTAAAGTGTTATACCGTATGAGTTAGAACGCTAATGTTTACCTCAGTAATAGTTACGGGACAGAGTGAATAAATAAAAACGCAGTGAACTAAGCTCAGTTGGCTAGAAATATTGATAACTACAAACTTTCACAGGTAGAAATACTCGTCAGATATTTAACCAAGGGAGTATATGTGGTATTGAGATCGGATATATAGGGAAAAGAAAAAGGTGTTAATTCAAGGCGTCTCGTGAATGTTGTGTTGGGTACTTCAAAAGAATGCGGGGCTGTTCTTAGGAGTGCACATAAGGTCGAGGAAAGGACTATAAGAGTATCTTTTGAACGATCACTTGAGGATAAGGAGACGGAAGGATACGGTCAAACCGAAGGCCTGACAAAAAAAGAAAACATAAAAAATATACCAGGTTTTCGGGTGATGAGATTTCGACACCCAATGTTGCCGAGATCGCCGTTCATAAGTTGAATGAATGCTCAGGTAGCATAAAAGTGCTATATTAACTCACGTAATCTCAGGTATAGATCATCTGGATTGGAAAATTTAGTTGAAGGCTCGAAGCCTGACGTGGTACCAACATAGTTATTAGAAGGCATAAATCTTACACCACTTACTTCAGGATTCTGAAAGTCTCTCTACTTGAGCGTTAAAGTCACTTACCATTACGATTACACTTGAATGCTTTGCTTTCTTTAGTAGAATTGACAGCTTTATATGAAATTCATCGTTCGCATCATCCGAACTGCAGTCAGTGGGTGCTTAGGCGGAGATTATGAATAGGCATTGTCTAGTCTCACGATGCTTCCTAGTTTTTACGGACAAATTGAGTCGGATATCACATAAACGGCTGCAGACTGATATCCAGTAGAGAAGCGTACTTTGTCCTGCAGCTTACTGTCATGTTTGCACAGATACAACAGCCAGCTATTGCGTCACCGAATACTTGTAACGTGAATTTGAAACAGTTAAACCCTTTTATGAATTTCGATAGCGTAATTAGAAGACGAAGTTTATCTGAACAATGTAATGTATTTGCGTAATACATTTCGAACAATTTGATCACACATTTACTTGTCAAGTCAACAGTGATAAATGCTGGTGGGAGACGACTCTCTTCATTCATAGCCAAACATCATATAAACAGGTCACAAAGTTAATGTTCAAACAGCTTTTGAAGTTTTATATAGAAACAGTCAGACACGTATTCTGCGATTCGCGGAAGTTAAAGCCATACACAAATTGAAACCACTTTTATGTGTACAAAAGAAATTTGTTCTTATACTACACCTACCTTGGTAAACTTTGTTTTCTTACTAAAATTAGTATTAACTAGGTCACTTCCTTTATTTTTTTTAATTTTGATCTCCTATTGTGTTAATTGTTGTATGTCCCCCCCCCATACACTCCCCGGTCTAATATATATTGACTTGAGAAGTAAATGTGTGACCAGATTGTTCGAAATGTATTACGCAAATATATCACATTGTTCAGATAAACTTCGTCTTTTATTCACGCTATCGAAACTCGTAAGTTGTTTCGAAGATTCACAGTAAGAGTCACCTGAGGTCAACTTCATAACCACACTCGGGTCCTGTATACGTGTCCCAGAGACACAGCATACAGTTCGAAATAGTAGAGAATATTTGTAACTCAGGTGGATGGTCTTAGTTGTATTGTGTTCATACTGAAGTTAGTGCTGATGCCATCTAGGAAGACGATGAAAGCTTCACGACTAAACAACTCAGCTCAGAGAACACAATACAACCAAGACGCAGCATACATCTATGGCTAGAGAAACCAGAGTTCTGGTGAGCTATGTTTGCTGTCCGGTTCGGCATAGACTTTGGACGCTGAAAACCCCAACATGAAATCGGTGGCAGGGTCTTAAGTGACTAGGAATGAGATTTCGATAGCTTTGATCGTTGGCAATGGTCGCAGAGTGCGAGGTGGAAAGGGTGTATCCAGACATGAGGGCAAAAGAGGAGACAGGGTTGAAGAGGACAGGTTATATTTGATTGGGTCTTGTGTACTGCTAGAAGCATGCAGGTGCCTGACACTTTCCAGCTCCGCATACCGTTGAAAGCTATTTCTTGAGGTATCCGGAAGAGAAAAAGATTTTTGTAACCATACAGCCTATAGGACACATGCTTGGGTCTATCGCACAGCTTTTTACGGATTGCTGCTTTCAGATTTGGTTGGTCAAACGCCATATAGAAAGAACCCTACAGCTGGTACCGGAAGACCGTGGGACAGGGTGGAATGTGTTACTCTTAGGGCCAACCTTTTTCAAAATCCCACTTGTCACTGGAAGGCGACATTAGCGTATCACTGATAGTCATCCAAGAGAAACACTCAATTACTGTCATACTTTAGCCAGCCAGAGGTACAACTTTGCCCTCGGACGTCCATTATAGTGTAGCAGATTTCACTACAACGGTAACTTTTCTTCGTCTTACAACTATCGAACAGACTTTTCTGGCAAGGTAGGACCTCGAGAGAACAAGCGTTCCAGCCAGTGTAGTTCGATGGGACACTGTGATGTGAAAGCCCGACCACCATGTCAAGGTAGCAGACACTCCAGATCGGTTACAAGGTTAGTGATAGGACTTATTGTATCTTTCCTATAAAAAGCGGTTAGTAAAGATGAATCTTTCCCTATTATCAGGTCAAAAAGAATTGTGAGATCTTATATTAGAGAATCACATCATGAATTATGATATCGGAGTTGATCTCTAGTGTTTTTACTCCTTCCAGGACTGATTACCTTAGAGGTCACTATAAAAAGTTGGAAAGTTATGTTCGAATAGACTACGGTTAAAACTCAGATTCTGTTACAGGGTGGTCAACGGTTGGAACTGATTACCAGAATTCGCGGTAACTGTTCTTTCGACGAACCCTTCTGAGAGATTTCTACTGCCAGGATAAATACAGGCTGCTAGACCAACTACCCTTTCAACTGAAAGTGAAACAGTGCTCTTAAGGAAACTGACAAGCTTTAAACGTCTGTTGCTCTTGCGAAAGAAACTCCAAGCAGCAAGCATGACATTTCAGTAATATTGATGGAAACGTGTACAAATTAGCGCTCGTTTGCAGGACATTTTACAATAAATGTGGCACTTATGTTTAATTTTGCTCTCTAGATCACGTGCACAACTCAGTAGCATTTTCACTATTTACCGAGATTTAAAACATAGACTCTTGACAAATAAACATTGTTTACTCTAAAAGTACATTCCAAATACCTTGCAGTTTTTCAGTTTTTCCTGTATAAAGATCTTTAGACCAGAATTCGGAGGACTTTTTGGCATTCCATAGCGATAAGCAAACTGAAATGAAAAACCCAAACAACAACTGAAATGCGGTAAAAAAAATTGGACATTATACGGTAAGATGATACATAACCTAGGAAATAAAATCGGAAACAAAGTCGAAAACCTGATTCACAAGAGTCTGAGTCTCCACCACATCACTTTGGTTAACAGCACCCAAGCGAAACATTTTAAACCTAAAAGACACTCTAGTAAATGAGTACTTTTCAGTCGTGTTCAAGTTTTATACACCTGTGTGAAAAATGGCTTTTTACATGCCCTACAACGTACTTAGGTAACATGAAGTGGAATTTTTTTAAACTAACTTTAAAGCCTACACGTTTAGAAAGATAAACGAATCGCAAAAGAACAAAAAAGCAAATATGTAGCTAAAAAAATGGCTCTGGATTTAGGCTTGTATTCGCCACGCAATTAAACAGCTCCTCTAATACATCATAAATTCCTGAGATAAAAATTGTCAGTATCAAGAGAGCAAATGAAACACATGCATTTAAATAGACTACCCTAGTGGCCTTGATAATTTCAGACTCTTCGTCCTTTGCCTCTGATTTCAGTTCCTCCAAATCTTTAGCCGGAAGAGACTTGTACAACTTTGCCAGATGTTTGAACACTTCCAGATTTGAAAGTTCTGGTTTTGTAGACTTGACCTCATGAAACCTCGTACGTACGAAGCTTGAATAAGCATTTTTTTCACAGGAACTAGAAGTAAAGTGACGAACTAAAAACCAAAATTTCCTGAACAATTTACGAGGATTTTTAACCTACTTCATTAGTATTTGGAAAGTGTTATGAGAAGACGAAAATCACGGTTGCTGCGTGGTTGGATACAAAACTAGCACTGCACCTGCAGAAGACAAATTATGGATACATCTTAATCAAGAAGAAAATATGGTCGTACCAACGTTATCAAACCAGAATATGTGTAGAGAACTCACGTGAATACAATGGGAATGTAACCCAATAGAACGTAGAAATAAGAAACTATGACGCGAATTATTAATCCTATTAATACTAACAATGAAGACGACTGTATCAGAACCTAATCGTCATACAGCATTAGTAACGATTAAAAACTAAAATCCCGAAAACTCAAAATTAACCTTTAGGGCAGAGATACTAAACTTGACCCTGAACAATTGCTTGGACGAAATCGCCGCTTCCAAATGGTTCCAATGGTTCAAATGGTTATTGATAGAATAGAAGAAACTTTCGCTTAACTGGCTTCCACGTCTACAATCCGTGGATCACTATCCTTTGTGGCTTTTAACCTGTGTATAAGTAAAGAAAGAGGAAAACGTGGCGACTAAAATGTGAAAAATCACTTAGTTCTGGGTAGATCCTGGACATACCAAGTGATGATCCAATCGGCGTTCAAGGGATTCAGACGAAGTAGCCTGGATCACATCTTCAGGAAGAGCGTTCCGGGGCTTCACAACTCTTCTTGAATAGACACTGTTCCTGACATTTATGTTCCAAGCCTAGTTTCTGTGCGTGTCCTCTAAGATTATCGCTGGGGTTAAGATTTTATAGCCCATGAGGCTATATTTATGAGGTGCATCATGTTTTACGTGTATCACCTTGCCCGTTATTGACTTTCCGGTTGTGAAGTCAAGTCAAGTCTTCCTGTAGAGAAACATTGTCTTCTTCACTTTTGATTTCCCTCCAGAAGTTCACGTCATCGGCAAAAAACAAGGATTTCGGAGCAAACCTGTTGAAGCAAAACGTTTGTATACATTAGAAAAAGTAAAGACCCTAGTACTGAGCCTTGGGGAACACCGCTGTGGCATTCCGTATCTTTAGACACAGAGAAACTTACCCAAACTCTAAATGAACGGCCCGTAGATATGAAGACAACCTGTCAATGAGTGGAGGTCGAATTCCAATTAATTTTAATTTATCGATAAGACAGTGGTGATTAACACGATCGAATGCCTTAGCAAAGTCTAGGTGGATAAAGTCAATTCGTCCTCGACGGCCAACAATGCTAGTCCACCTATCTACTTCAGTGAGCAAATTGGTAATGCAGGAGTACCCCATTCGAAATCCATGTTGTTGGGGGGCAAAGAAATTTATGTTTGTGGGGTAATCCCCCAGGTCATCGTATATCAGCGATTCCACCACTTTGGAAGGAAGGGATAGAAGTGTCACTGGTCTGTATTTCTTTGGATTGCTTCGCTGACCCCCTTTGAAGATTTGCGTTACGTGGCCCAGCTTCTAACAGTCTGGTACTCTTCCCTGGCCCAGAGAACTGTTAAATAACCTGCTTAAGGGTTCGGACAAGATTGAAGCTCCCTCCCACAGTATCACCGGATGGATCTTATCTGGTCCCGGAGAGATGTCTCCGGTGAGCAGTAGCAGTCTGCGCTGTACTAGCCCAACGCTTAGGTCGACGACTGAGAATCCTACTTCACCAGTGGGATACTTGTAGGCTACTGAATAGGTGGGCGATGACGAAAAGATTTGCAGGTACTGGTCGGTCAAGAACTCAGCTGCTTCACTGTCGATATTAGTCTATTTGTTCGCACCTAGTAGTTGAGTGACTCCCGCTTTAGCCTGCCTGAATGAAGCAGCGTAGCGGAAGAGACTTCTCGGGTTAGATACAGACATGCTTGTAAGCCTAACTTGATGTGGCTGCTGATCGGCTCTCATTGCATCCATACACACGTTTCTTGTCCGTTTGAATTGTCTGAAAGCGCATTGGTGTCAATCCTTTTGTGTTCAACCCAGTGATGTCTCTTTTACTTGAGTAGTTTGTGAGTGCGGTTCCTTTTTACCTCAGGTAACTTGCGGCACTTCGGCCCCGAAAGTGGATCAGCCTGACTGATCGCATGCATGATCTTGTCAAGTATGAATTTCCAATGGGTGTTCATATCTCGCCATGCATGGTTAACTTCCCAATCTTCCCGTTCCATTGTAGTTAGAAGAGCCGGAGTGTTGAGTCGTCTGAAGTTTCAAAGATGTCCATTGAAAGGTCTAGTTATATTGGGTTCGAAAATCAACTGGAAGCCGATGACAAGGTGGTCACTACCGCCCAAAGGAGGAAGGATTGCTAAGCTGTCTATCGGGAATTCTTCATTTGTGAAGATGCAGTCTGAGCAAGATGGGGTTTGAGTGGTCCAGCTCGAGTTTTCTGCATACGTTCTCCCAAAGAGTCCTATCATTCTTGTCCTGAAGGCTGTGTGGGAGATCAGGACTGTTTGTCAGGTTCATGATGATCAAGGAGTCATTCTAGACAGTGGTCTGCCTTGTCAGCTGTCAACGCTTGGGCGTTTCTTGGTGAGCTTTCATTTTCCCTCTAGCTCTGCCCTAGTTCGCGGGCGACACTTTTGCTTGCTTCATAAGCTTGTTGGTGAATCGCATGGTCTGCTGTCCATTCCACTTTCCTGCGGACCCATGTTTAGCCTTCCTGATTTCCAGATTACCCCACTTGGGCTTTTTCCCTGCGTTTCTCACCTTCACAGACCCGATGGATTTGGCTGGAGTTGAGACTCGACTGTTTTTATTTCGTACAATGGTTACCCATTCTCCATCTTGAGTATCCTTGTTTGGTATGACCGTTTCATTTTTCAGCTCACCTGCTGATGACAAAATCCAAGTGAAGGACTGTAGGAAAGTTGGTTTTATTGTAGTACTAAGGTGCATCATGTCCTCCGTCAAATTAGACCCTTGCTGTCATTGAGTGACTTGAGCACTTTTTCCGCCAGACGATTTTCTAACTCCGTAACCCCGTGCTTAGGCACTGCTTTTGAGTTTTCCAGCTTACCCTTTTTATAGTCTACTTTCAGTCTGTTTTTTAATTCTAATAACATGCCGATGATATTCTCAAGAACATCGTCTACTGCAGACCTACACAAGCGGCAATGCAACTTACGGTCAGACTTGCTGAAGTTGATATACTCAGTCTACGCCAGGTCAGTGGAAACATCCATCGCATGTGTCACAATGCATACCCACCCGAACAGGTTTACGATAACCCTGCCTCTTGCACATCTGTTTGGCCACCATGTTCGTTAAAAGTATAAAAAGGTCCATCTTAAAATGAAAAAACTCTGGAGAAACTTGAAAAAGAGTGGTAACCTTAACGTTATCAGATCAAACCAAGACTGGAACAAATGTAAAGCCTCGCTATCATAGTGTGAACAAGAGGATATGTAAAAGTAGGGCAAACTTTTCGGGCTGGAAGCCCTACAGAATACTTTTACTGAAAACCAGAGCCATCTTTGCGTTACAACAAAAGCTAAATTTGCTAAATCATGGTAAGATTATGCTTCCTTTCAATATCCAATATCCAATATCTTTTTACGAGCTGGTGTACACCAGTTGACTTCTTCGTGCTCGCTTCTAGTTCTTGCGGGACGGTTCCATGTCTTTGGTGGATTCCGGTGCAGTAGGTCTACCCACTAGGCTGCCGTAGCTCTGGCTAGTCCGGCGAAGGGCTGTGTGTTGGTTTAATTTGTAGGGAGCGTTGTTTGTCTGTTTTTTTTCTTCCGAGGGGTGTGGCGCGGATGGATTCTCCAGGTGTCGTGCCAGCAGACAATTGGTCGGACTGGTTATAAAAAGGAGATGGAAAAATTTGAGCAGAGAAATCAAGGGAGCGGAAGTGCAAAGACAGGTAAATGGAGAAAGAAGAAAAGAAAGAAAAAGACTATTAGGAAAAAGGATACGGCACAGAAGAAGAAACGGTGGTAGATTTATAAAGAAGGGAAGATAGCAAGAGCTTTTGTTAAAGTTTGAGAACGTGAAGTCAGAGGGAAGAGGACGGATGGGAATACAGTAACTTTTTTAGTGGGAGACGGTAACTGGAGGGGAGGTCTATGGGGAAGTTTAAGGTTGAGCCAAGTTCCCAGCGGTAGTGGCGTTACAAAGTATTCAGTAACGGTTGGCCGTACCGAGTTAGTAGGTCATGTCAGCCCAGTCCATATCCCAGTCGGATGAACGCAAGCCGTGAGTCGCTGTGCAACTGTCTAACCGCTTCTTGAAGCTATCAACAGACGGAACAGTGGCACTGTCGGCAGGCAATGCGTTCCAGTGGCCACAGACTGGCAGAAAGAAGTGTAGTCACAAACGGGTCTTCTCTTTTTGGTGGGCGATTCTCCTTGGGTTACCGCGGGGATTGCCGTAGTGGCCGTTTGGTAGGATTCTACTGTTCGGATGACTTGGGTTACTTAGTGTTTTGTAAGCCTTTATCAAGTCACCACGTAATCCGCGGTAGCTTAGGGTGTAGAGCCCTAGATCTTTTGGCTTGTCCTGATATAGTTTTCAACTCATCCCCTCAACACTTTTTGCAGCTCTCCTTTGGATTTTCTTTAGAAGGTTCACGCCTCTTTTCAGATATGCTGGTGCAGTGATGTTGTGAACCTCTGGGCGGGGTCATATATAGGTCTTATACTGCCTCAAAAAGAGTTCTGGGGTCAGGGCACCAAGCTGCCTGCGCATGAAGTGCAGCGCCGCGTAGGCTCTAGAGGCATCCCCTGGACAATTGGAGCTATTGTCTAGTTCGGACTTGTTATATACCCATGAATACGAGACCAAGAAAGAACACGATAGCGTAGTCGGGTGGAATAGTATTTTTGGGTGGTTGTGCCGAAACACTGGTACGTTCCAACTAATTGGCTAGAGAGCCGAATACGGGCAATGCGATGTAACATGACAGCGTGCCGAATGGCGAGGATGCTTGACCGTGTGCCTCCAGCTTAGCGAGTCCAGTTAAACTATCAAGGTCAGCGTCGGTGTTGAGTGTCATCGAACCCTAGGCTATTGATTTTGAGGGAGTATGTGATGCTGCAATGTCCTCCAAGTCGAGCAAATTCTGTTGGCTTTTGTGCAGAATTGCCTACCGTCTAGATAGTCTTGTAACCATGAAAGCACTTGTCCCTTGATGCCCAGCCTTGCTATCTTGTGAATAAGAATGGTATGTGGGACAGTGTCGAAGGCCTTAGCAAAATCTAGGAAAATAACATGGACAGAAATTTGGAGGTCCCAGCATACCGTTCACTTATCACCTGCCGCCAGAATGCCTGAGGCACAGGACCCACTCTTTCTGAAAACATGTTGAGCATCACTAAGTGCTCCCCTCTTTTCCAAGTACTCCCTGACGCGGTCGTCTATCGGGCTCTCCACCACTCTTGACACCACTAGTAAAAGGG